TCCTCAAAAGTGTACAGTCATCTATTTTGATTTCCCCGTCTTGCGCCTGGGTTTCCATTGGAGCTACGGCTGTGAAACGGCACGTCCCCCTTGCCCTTGATTTGGGGTTTTGACTCTGGCGCACGTTTCAAGTTCCTGCGTTCCGAGTACGGGGTGAGCTCCCGGAAGTTTTGCCTATTTTATTTGCTTTCTTTTCCTGAGCAGAATCAAGCGCTATCTGGTCTGGGGGTCGGGGCAATTTGGCCGTTTTGGAAAAACGGACGGCAGTGGCGGCTTTTCGGTGATTTCTAAGTTTTAGGGATCTCAGCGGGCTGATTGTCAGAATGAGCGGTTTAGCTCTGTATGGAAAACTTCCAGGCCCTCTAGGAAGTGTGAGGAGATGGGGATGCTGTTTAGGGGAATTTGCACGTAGAAATGGAACGACTTGAGGTATTGGAAATAGTGAGCTTCCGAGGATTCCTCTTTTCACAGGTTGCCGCCTTGCCTGGATAGTGCACTTCCTGCCTACAAACTTTTGATGAGTTAGTTTGGTTGTTTCTCCAAACGGGTTTTGTTTATTTACTAGTCAGCCTGGAAGTCGGTTCTAGGATGCTTCGGTCGGCAGTGAGAGTAGGCTCATCGTCCTTTCCACTGCAGAAACTTGTATTCGGTGAGCTGCAGGTTAGAGTGACAGGATATTTCCAGGATGGGCCTATGGGAGATCAGGGGGTCAGCAGGGATAGGTAGACGCGGGAGGTTTACCACAGCCTTCTGCAGAAGTTTTCTATCTTGCCAGCCCGTAGGAGAACATGGTGGCAACCTTGTGTGGATTGGTTTGTCTGGTGCCACTCCCCTCACCAGTTTGTCGTTGGACTGGATTTTCTGCAATTGTGCAATACAGTCCGTGACTACTGATGAGTGGTTAAACTCCACTACTGGTCCCAGAATCCGTTTCTTGTGTTTTGAGATCAGCCGAGTGCAACTAGAAGGGTTAGGTATTTTTGGGGAGGTGGAGGTTCCCTAGAAGGGTTTTTGCCTTCTGGGCAAGAGTTTGGTCCTTGGGAAAACGGCCCCATAGTATCACCCTGCCAGCGCAAGCTTCTTCAGTTGTCAGTTTTTCTGCTGTCTAATATATCTTGTTTGGATCTGTTAATCGCTTACGAGGCCGCCTCTGTTTGTAGCTCTAAGCTCTTAGAGATGTATGGCAAGCCGTAAGATATGAGCCTTCCTGTCAGCTATCTCTTTCGCTTGTGTCGTTGCAGCGCATCCGTGTGCTAACAGTGAGTCTTCGATTAGGGTATCACTGGGGCATATTGCAAAGGTGTTTGCATCTATGTCTCAGGGATTATGCCGCATAGGAAGTGTAAACTCATCCGGGTCTTCAGAGCTAAGTTGGTAATGTTTCAGTTTCAGTTTGAACAACCATTAACCACGCATATTCGTGCGCCGGTTTTGGTT